GAAGATCCATATACACCTCCTCTTGCAAGCCCTCATTGAGAAAAGCATTCTTTTTTTGGCACAAGTTAATACCAGGTCGTGGTTTGTTATACAAGACTGGAGGGAGTCTTAAGATAAAAGGTTATACAATGTTGATTGGGCTAGATGATTCTGTAACAAAAGATCCACTATAGGGCATTGTCAGTGTTTTAAAAGCACATAGGCCAATTTGCGCCTAAGGCGCAAGGCACAAGGCGAGGTGCGCGCCTTTTTAAGAAAGGTGCAAAATTACAAAAAAAAATGCTTCAAAATAAAAAAAAAATGCCAAAAAATTTAAAAAATGTAAAAATATTAAAAAATATTAGACATAATGTTAATAAAAATATAAACTTAAATTTTAAAATAAATGWTTTAAAARMYCTATTATCTAAAATTAAAATACATAAACATAACATGTAAAGTGTATTCAAATGAAAATTTAAAAATAAAGGCAAGTATATAAAACATTTTCAAGCATGTAAAACCTACAATCTCTTTTTTTCCTTAATTGCATTGCTTCAAGTAGTTATTGTGATATAAAACATATTGCATTCTTGGTTCTATGAGTCGCCTTTGTAGCACACCCCCCGAGGCACGCCCCCCGAGGCAAGCCTAAACCACATATGAACTAGTGTGGTTGAAAAATCTTTTGCAGGAGATAGGATACTCAATTGATAGCCCTATGAAGTTGTATTGTGACAACTAAACTGCAGTCCATATTTCTTCTAATCTAGTTTTCCATAAGAAAACAAAGCACATAGAAGTTAATTGCCACTTTGTAAGAAAAAAGGTTCTTAGTGGAGTGATAAGTATAATACATGTGAATTCAGGGAATCAGTAGGCAGATTTGTTTACAAAACGATTAAATCAGGGAAGAGTGGATTCCATATATAAAAAGTTGGGATTATATAACATATACTCACCAGCTTGAGGGGGAGTGTTAGAGTTAGCAGTCAAAGTCCAAAACATGTAAATAAGAAGGTGGTCGGTTGGGAGGATTTTTTTTTTTGATAATTACGAAGAGAGTGATTTTTCTCCCTAGTCATTTCTCTCCATTCTCCTCTTCTCTTTCTCTCCTTCTCTACTCTCTCTCTTGCTTCTGACCTAGAACTGAACCAATGCTAACCGAACCATTAACAAAAACTATAAGCAGGGTCTCTATAAGAAAGTAGTGGATGATCACCAGCGGTCTCACAAGGAGAATCTTAACTAGGGTGAGAAACAATGTTGTAGGAGCAAACATGAGAGAGTGTACTCCCCAACTCCAACTTTTAGCAATAAAGTCTTTTAACTTAAATAACGATGTCAAAACATCCCCAACCTCGACTTTTAGGAAAACTCCAAGGAACCATCTAGCAAAGGCAACCTGTCAAATAATCAATGGAAACTACCTTGCACCCAACAACAAACCCACTACAAAAATGATGCACCCCAAAAAGTGGACTTTCCAAACCAAAAGTCTGCCTCAAAACAACCATGACATACTACCAATCATTTGAAATTCAACCCTAGAACAGCACATACCAAACTTCAAACCAACCATGAATGCAAAACCAAACTTCCAAAAACTGACAAAAACCAAACAGCTACAAAATGCTAAACCCCAACTTAACACCAAAACAAAATTCAACTCAGTTAGTTAGCTTCTCCATTGTAAATCCTTCATATATGTACATATCTTAATATAGTCATAATAACCTTGAGTAATGGCTGTTTTGCAGAAGTCCAAAAAACCATAAACCTAAAAATGAGGATTCATCTGAACTGACAAAAGGTATTAACATGAGGGCTGATAAATGCCAGGTCTTGATGAATTAAATGGAAGGTCCTGATCAATGTAGAACTCTGCGACTACATGCATGAATCAATTCATTGCTTAAGTCTCAATACACCAGTTTACTGCAAGATTAATGTCATTCCCTGCTCCCTTAGTGTATTAGAATGTATCCCTTTGAGTAAACTGATCAAAAAATAATAGAACCTCTTTTCTTTTTTTTTTTTTTTTGCCGGGGGGTAGAGAGAGAGAGGTTATCTTGTGTTAGGGACATTTTTGTCACATAAAAATTAGGTGAAACGATATCAATTAGGTCATGTTCTCTTTTGTCATTTGTAATGTACTTCTAGCCAGTTCAGGTGCTCCACCTTGGTTATGATACTAGATGTAACTAAAGAAAAAGAGGTATGTGACTTATGAAACCTTGGGGGTTTTTTGGAGGATCTAAAAGATGGGGAAACTCCTAGACATTATCAGTAAAATCAGAAAGGTTTTAAGCAATTTACATAAAGAAGTAACACTTACATCATTTTCAAAGTCCTTCATGTGAAGCTCCACAAATAGCTTTAGTTTGGAATTGTTTCGACATGAAGAAGTGAATGACTCCAAATTTGGACAGGCCTCTGGGTGACTCATGAAGGTGACTCATGAAAGCCCTCTGGGTAGAATCTCTTGAGTTTTGGTAAATACATGAGCCTTACGGTCCTTAACTGAGGGAATAATTTGTCATTACCCTTATCCTCCTTCCCTTTCACAATTATTTGTTTTATATGGTTGCATTTGTATACTATGAGTTTTTTGAGCTCTAACAGTTTACAAGCTAGAGTGGTTGGCATGAGATTACTCATAGTCTTGCATCCTTCCACTTCTAAAACTTGCAAATTTGGAAGGCCAAGGAAGGAGATTGTGGATAAAGTTTTCAAATTGTCACAGTGACTCAACCTTAGAGTTCTCTCACTACTGCTATTGACCCTCAGAACTCTTGGGTAAAAACCCAAGCGGTGTAAGCATTTTTCACGACTGAATCTGCCTACAAGTATGTCAAATCTTTTCAAGGTTGGGAAAGTGACAACTTTATTCAAGATGTTGGTATCAACTATATCAAGGCAAAGGCTTGTTAAGCAGTTCAATGATTCCAACTCCTGAATGCTCGCATTATTGCCATTTTCTATTCCTTCAATCAGCCACTCATTGAAACTACCAATCATGTAAAGCTCCTCCAGATGAGACCAACAAGTTATCACATTGGGTGGTATTCTGGTAATCACCGCACATGTCAAATCCAGCAATTTCAGATTGGTCAAATGTGCAATATCACCAGGCAACTCGCCGATTGAAGATTGGCGTAGAGTAAGTATCTCAAGCTTGTTCAATCTTCCAAGAGTTGATATGTCTTGTAAATTGCAGTCTTCCAGATATAATGCACTAAGGTTGGTCAGGCATTGGATTGATAATGAGCAGCATCTGTAGCATCCACTGAGATCCAAAACTTTAAGTTCTTTCATCCCTTCAAAGAAAGTGTCTGAGATCACCTTCAACTCATTATTTCCTTGCAACAATAAAATCTGTAATTTTAAGTGTTCATGTTCCATCACATTACGATGCATATTTATAGCATTACATATTGCTGTATAATCTTTTGACTTCACTACCAGACAGTTTGTCAGTTCTTCACCAGCTCTTGTCATGAAGACATGATTACCACTGGATGCAATTGAGATGACCATGTCATGAACAATATCTTGCATTTTGATGTACTCTTCTTTGGGGTATTCTTCTTCTCCTAGATCAAATAATTGAACATCATTGTTATCTTCATCTAACAGCATAGAAGCTGTTTTAAGCTTGTTTACAATTGTTTGCATTTTGCATCTTGCATCTGCTATTGTATTAGCATTCTTAAATAATCCAAACCCCATCCCATATCTAACCATTCTTTCTATTTCAATGTTATGATCTTTGGGAAACAAACAACAAAAAAGGAGGAAATGTTTGGCTTCCTCATCTTCTGCAAACAAACCACTTAGTGCTATTGCAACTTTTACAAGAGCAATGGGCAAGCCACCACACTCTGTAACAATCTTGTGGAACAAATCAAACAAGTTTTGTCCTTTCAGCATTGCACCAGTTTCCATTTTAAACAAGTCGCAAGCTTCCTGTACAGATAAGATATTAACTTGGATGCTTCTCTGGACTTCCATTTCTCGACAAACATCTTGGCTACAAGCAGTAATTATGATCTTGCAACCTTTGTGGTTGTCACCATAGGGGATTCCCAATTTATCCAACTCCAGTCTCTCCCAAACATCGTCCAAGATTACAAGGATCCTGTTCTCTTCTTTCAGTCTCCTTGATAGTGTGGTAGCCTTTTGGATTTCACAATCTTCTTCAAATCTCAGGGCTAGCATATTTGCAATTTCACCCTGAATCTTTTGCAAGTTTGCATTTCGGGACACTACTGTCATCACAACCTTGTCAAAAAGCTTTTCTTTATAAACTATATCACATATTTCCTTGACTAGGGTCGTCTTACCAACACCTTCCCTCCCATATAGCCCAATGACTTGGATATTTTCATCTTTTAATGCTGTGTTAACCATCTCCATAGCCATTTTGGTGGATTCAAAGAGATGGAACTTTCTAGTTTCCAGAGAAAGCACCTGATGGTTTATAGCATTAAACTCCCTTGATGTTTCAAGGTGAAGGTTGATGCTTTTTGCTTTTTGTTTTGCACCCCTGCTTGAGCACCAATTAGGACATAACCATGTAAAACAATTCCTTTTTTCCACAGTTCTGTCTACTAATCTCTCCGTGCCCTCTACATTAGAGCCCATGGCATCCAGAAAATCTACGATTTTGGTAAGCTTTGCCTCTTAGTATAATATTCGTTGATTGTTTGTTGAACACCCTCTCTTAGTTGTCTTCTCCGCTTGTCTCTTGAGCTGCTCAATGTTCTCCTTGTAATCATCTAGATAACCAACATGCCCAACAGAACTTGATTATTATACTTTTTACTTTTTCCTATGATGGCCTATACGTAATCCATGACCACAACAATTTTTTGAGAAAAAAAACAAAAGAAAGAATAAATGGTTATTTTCTTTTAAGTTATTGCCAGAAGGAAACAAAATATTATCTAAAATCATAAAAGAAAAACAGTACCAAGGAATAACAAAAGAGAAGAGAAAAGAGGATCTTCTCTGCTTACCACTTCTGTTTTTCCATCGATTTTTGCACAACAAAATAGCTCTAAGTGCTTTCCAGAGTTGTCCTGCTATATAATCTATTTTTCTCCCCATGACGGAGCAGGAAGGTGATGTGATAGCCTTGGTGCTCATCACAAACAAACCCCATATTTTTACTTGAGAGTTTGTCCGGCCGTATTATGGAGGACAAAAGGATAAAGGTGGAAGAATTGGACAGGAGGAAAAGAGCGCTAAAACAAAATATGAGTTAATGGATTTAACAAAATGTAGAAGAATCGACAGTTTTTAGTGGGTAAATGAATTAAAAAAAAATCCTGAAGAGAGCTTCATGGACGATTTGAAACTATCCATTGCTTTTAAAGAGACAGAACCCTGAATTTGTTCAAGAAAGGTAATTTCAATAAGATAGACATCCGGATCCTTATTTTAGACCTACCACCAGAACATATGAAGTTGCCTATGGAGAAGAACTTTGCAGGATGGCCAGAAATCCAATTATAGAGAAGATTGAAGATGAGGAGAGGCTGGATGAGTCAGCGCCACAGTTGGGAAGGTAAAGGTTCCTGAGGATGAGAATGCGCATATATGTGAAAAGCCCGCTAGCAAAAGGAGCTTTCATCATGAAAGGCTGACTACATTTTATTTCCAATTTGTTGTTTTGGGCCATGAAGAAAGGAGCTGCCTAACCAAGAATAGGGATCGTGTGAAGGAGCTGATTCAAAAACTAATTGTGTAGATGATGGACTGTAAAATTGGGTTATGATCCGTGGCTTCGAGCAAATATGAACACGAGGATACGTTCATCAATCAACAGGATGATTTCTACGAGAAATAACAGAGGTGGAAATGGGGAAGCTGGGCATGAACAAAGAGAGGATACAGCGGGCGAGAAAAATGATCTAAGTGCAGGACGAGATACGCAAAGGGAAAGCTCTGACTACTCAAAATGGTCGGAGTTAATTCCTTGATCCTCAACGCAATTTAATTCTCCGAAATTTATCATCGGTGTATAGTGAAGTAATGATTGAGATGGGTTCGGCTTCAGTCAAAGCTGATGCTTTCGAACATCACGATAGAATGACACGCGTCCATAACGCGTGTGCATCTTATATTGATGTGAGGATGGTAAACGGGCGTTTATTACGAACACCGTTAGCCATCCCTCATTCAAAACATTTTTGCTTTACCCTTTCTATTCTCTTCTTTCCCGCGTCTCTCTGGTCTTCACCCAAATCGACCCACCGAACCCCTAATCTACTATTCTCTCCAACCGGCTAAGGCAAAAAGCATCAGCGGTGGTGAAATCTTCTTCCGGCGATCGGTGATAGAGAACAGGTAAATCTTCTTTCTGTGCTTCTCTAAAACAATCTTCTCCTGTAAAAAGCCCGACCCTTATTGTTGGTGGTAGTGATATTCCGCCGGTGACGAATGGCCCATCTGCAACTAATACACCAGCAACTTTCTTGCTGGAAGAAAAAGGTTTAGCGCTGGTAACTTACGACTACTACTTAGCCCAATTGTACCCAAACCACAAACAAATTAAACAATTCAACAAAACCAGAAATGATTTTACATAAGAGAAGAAAAAACTTACAACAAAAGCACAAAGTAATTGAACTAAAACTTAAGCCGAAGATCTAATAACAGCAGGGAGAAAAGCACTAAACCTTTTTCTTCCAACCAGTAGGTTGCTGACGGATAAGTTGCAAATGAAGCCACTCGAGGAGAAAAGCACTAAACCCTTTTCTTCCAGCCAATAGGTTGCTGACGGATCAGTTGCAGATGAAGTCGTTCAGGGAGAAAAGCACTAAACCTTTTTTTCATGTAGTAGGTTGCTGGCGTATCAGTTGCAGATGAAGTCATTCGTCACCGGCGGAATATCACTGCCATAAGGGTCATGTTTTTCATGAGAGAAGACTATGTATTAGAGAAACAAAGAAGGAAGATTTACCTGTTCTCTATCGCCGGTTGTTGGAATAAGATTTCACCGCCGGTAATGCCTTTTGTCTAAATCGGTTAGAGAGGTCGATTTGGGTGGAGACTGTAGTGACGCGGGAAAGAAGAGAATCGAAAGGGTAAGGCAAAAATGTTTTGTAACGGGGATGGCTAACGGTGTTCATGATAAACGCCCGTTTACTATCTCACACAAGTATAGAATGCACACGTGCTTATAGACGTGTGTCATTCTCTCGAGATGCTCGGATGATGAACACATATAGCTTTGACTGAAGTCGAACCCACGCGCGGTACGACTCAGACGGCAATTAACTTCGAGAGAGTTTACTTTCATTTACAATCGGTTTTGCTATTATTATCGAGAGATGGTTTTAATACATGATGAAAATGTGTTTTGTTGGACATTATGTTTGCTCCCTGAGGCAATATACGAGTTCTCTATAGGTCCGCTTGCATTGAGAATATCTCCCTCCTTGTATGTTTTATTTCTTAGAAAGAAATTCCTAATTCAAGATTATAAAAGGATGTTGAGATGGTGTGAGTACAGGCTTGCACTAACCCAAGCTGATCTCATCGCCCATGTGGTTGCATAACGTACATTGACCCCTCCGGCTGCGCCTATGGCATTATTCTCACATTATATGGCTTGTTGTTGAGATAATTAAGGCCGTTATCGTCATTTGCTCTCACTAGTGAAGTCTATTTAGAGGTCTACTGCTCATGAACCATGGCCTGTGGGCAACCTGCGCTGAAGGCAGGTTGTGTCGTGTTGGCACATGGACCATTACGGGCTGTGCTGCCTTTTCCGATGAAAATTTTGGAGGCCAGGATGATATAGTCTATGGCTCGGTTCCAAGCAGGCCTGTGCCATGTTGCGGGCCTAGGCCAGGCCGGGCTGGACCATAGGGTGGGCCTTGGGCCTGGACCAAATAGGGCTGTATTGTTTTTTTTTTTTTAAGTAAAATTGTAAAGCTAACATATTTAACTTTCCTTTGAACTTTGGGAATTGGGAACTATTTAAAAAATTAAGAAAATGAGAAATCTAAATTATCTAACACATAAATGAAAAAGAAATACTTAACCAAATTGAAATAAAAATGATGGAATAACAATTTTGAAGAAAAATAGGAATTTTATTTTATTTAAATTTAAATGGTACAAATTACAAATACAATGATTGGATCATTGCATACTTGGATGAATGAAATATGAAAATGGAATAATTAATAAAATATAAAAAGTACAATATGCTTACAAATTGAAAATACAAAGCTACATTGTTAAAAATTAAAAAATATATTAAATAAATTAATAAAAGTAAAAAAATTACAATAATTTGAAAAAATAATATATTCTATACAAGTTGTCAAATTCATGAATCATCATCTGCTTTGGGAGAAATATCCGGTGTAGTATCATGCCCTCCCTTATCTTGTAATCTATCTTATGCATCTAGTCAATCCTTGAAGCAAAATGCACATCTCTATGTTTTCATTGTTTATGTAGCTTCTTTTGCCATCCAACACCTTGGTACTTGTACTAAAATAAGACTCCGATGAAACTATAGACACTGGAGGGATTACTAGATCATGTTTCATGGTGGTGAGAATCGGATAGTTTTTCGAATGTTCACTCCATCAAGCTAAAATATCAAGATTATTTGATCATTCACCTAAATTAGAAAAAATTGCTTGGAAATTAAAATTAAGTTTAGTAAATGAACTTGTTGTAGAAGTGACAGATTTCTACGTTTTACTTATTAAATAAAAAAGTTTTTCTCTTCTACTACTCGGCTCAAGGTTGGAAGTAGAAGAAGATAATGAACAAGTTGTAAGAATATTTCCTACAACTTCAAATTCATACAAGATGTACATTTCAAATAATAAATTATTAATTTCTTCTTTTTTATTTCTTATATCAATATTAATATTTTCACAATATGATTCAAGTAAAATATTGAAACCATCTTTCCTAATCCTAGGGTCTAATATTGTAGCTAAATAATAAAGGGGAGAAATGTTTTATCAATATTTTTTAAATTTATTTTCTATAATTTCAACAATACATTAAAATTGTGGATTATTTCTATATTTTGCAAAACAATCACTAATTACCATTAATTGATAAGGTAAATTACAACTAGTTGGATAATAAATATCAAATAATTCATTAGTTGCATCATAAAAATGTTTTAAAATCTCTTATATAGATTGTCGTTTCCTACTCTTCCTCAAATATAATATCATTAGGCATTTCTAAATTATAAAAATTAAAAAGAATTTGTTTATGAGATATACAACTTTCTAACATAGCATATGTAGAACTCCACTTATGCTTTACATCTAATATAAAATGTTTATATTTTAAACCATAATTTTGACATAAATATTTAAATTCCTATTTTCTTGCCCCTAAACTTTTTAAATATATAATATAATTTCTAATTTTTGAAATATGAGTAGAAATAATATTCAATGCATTTTGAATATATAAATTTAAGATGTGACATGCACATTTAATATAAAAAAATTACCATTTAAGCATGGTCTTAATTGAGATTTTAAAATATTTATTGCAAAATCATTATTGTTAGCATAACAAAACTAATAGATTATTTTCTATTCTATAAGCATGCAAAGTATTTAAAATACTTGCAGCAATAGTTAGGCCACTATGTGGCCATTCAAGCCTAGTAAATAAATTAAATTCTTTTATTCAAAAGACAATTTTCATCGACTGATAACACAAATATAACTAATACTAAATTTGGATGTTCAAACATCTGAAGTAATTGCAACTTTAGAATTAAGATTTGCTAAAAAATAAATTAAATTTTGTTTGTATGAATAAAAAATTTTTAAAGTATAAGTTCTTATAGTATTCTTGGAAACTGTTTTATATTGTGGGTTTATAGAACTAGCAAGTTTTGCATGTACAATATAAATGGTTGTTTCTCCCCCTTTATCTTCCTACATTTTTGGAAAACAATCATTTTCCCATTTTCCTTAATACCCTCTACTTTGAAAAATTTCCAAATCGATCTACTTAGCTCAGAGGCCCTCCTTTTTCCCCTAGTATCATTATTGGGGGGGTGAAAGTTCCACTTTCATTTACATCAATCACATCAGTGCTAATACTATAATGATGCGATTGAATATCATCAATGAATATTTTTTTAATTCTAAAAATATAAAAATTAATATAATTTGACTTACTTGGATTGCCGATTCAAAATCTCAACTTGATTTTAATGGTTAAAGCCTTTCAACATCCAAGCCTCTCAAATTGAAATACTTGAGCTGGTTAAGTAAGCCTTTTTCCTATTGGAAGTCGAAACTTAAATAAAATTGAGACTTGAGAATTGGAGAATGCAGAATCAAATAATCAGCTAATCATAATTACTCAGATTGTAGAGAATTGAGAATGTATGAGTATGAGAGAAAGAGAAGAGATTAATAGAATTGTTGAATTAGTATGATGAGAATGGTGGAGGATAGGGCTATTTATAGGAATTAAACATAATTTAATTGCCTAAAATACCTAAAAAACTAGCTGTTATTTAGTTGTTGGGAGGGGTAGTTTGGTTATTGTAAAGTTATTTATAACTTTACCCAAAAATCCTCCTAAACTAGTTGTTATATAGTTGTTGGGGGGCATTTATGTCATTTTTTTAAGTATAAATTTCTTAAACTGCCCTTATGGTTTAGCTAATTGACTAAGTATGCCCTTACTGTTTGAAAATTAACAAACACTACCCTTATTGTTTCTAACAATTGACTAACTCTTTCCTTACCATTAACGTCTGTTAACAAAAAGGCAAAAAAGACTAATTTAATTTACTCTTCTTTAAAATTTCAAAATAAAACAAAGAAAGGGGAGAGAAACTCTTACTCTCTGAAATTGATAATGTGATTGGTTCTTTTTTTCACTCTTTGTAGATCAGAATTAGATTATCATTTTTAGAGAGCAAGTGTTTCGCTCCCCTTTCTTTTTTTATTT